TCGAGGGGCGGCCCCCCCAGTGCCCAGCACAGGGGCACGCTCCCTGCCCTGCTCCTGCTGGCCACACCACTCCTGAGACAAGCCAGGATGCCACTGGCCCTCTTGGCCACCTGGGCACCCTGCTGGCTTGTGTCCATCCGCCTGCTTCCTCAGAGTGCTTCAGGTGCAAACCCTCCTTCCATTTCAGGGAAGCAAACACAACAGCCAACACCTTCATCACCCTTGGGTGCTCAGGATTCCGGACTTGTTTTCGTGTTTTATTACTCATCCCAGCACAGAAGCTTCGAGGGGTACCAACGAGCTGGCTCCCATCTTCACCCAAAATGAATTTTTTGGGAACAGCTTCTTTCAGCAGGCGCTGGGTTTTTTTCCTCCTTTCGAAGGGGTCAGTTTCAAAAGAATTGTCCTCAAAATGCTTCGAACGCAGGCGCTGGTGCTTGGACGGCGCTCCCATGTCCCGGCCCATGTTGTGAATCCGCTGCTTCAAGAGAGGTTGATTTTGTAAGGGAAAGCCATGGAAGGTAACGAGACTGTTCTCGTATGCCCCGCTGGTGGCATTTTGACAGTTCAGCACCAAGCAATAAACCGTCCTGAAATGAGAAACAGGAACAAACCCAAACCCAACGTGCCGAGAGGAAGGTTTAAAGAGTTTCTAACCAACTTCAGCGTTAAATGGACCTAAACTTCTCAAGGAGAACAAATGGGTTTGAAAAACAGAAGGAGCTGAGGTCACAAAGAAGTGAAACACGGTGCTGAACCTCCCTGCCGGAGACACGGAGCTCACCACGGCTGACGCCCGCAGCGCACAGAGAGGAGGAGCCAGGTCCCCCTTCACAGCGCTGGCTTCCCCGCTTCAAAGCGACAGCGTATAACCTGAAAGGCAAAAATCTTTAAAAATCCCCCAAACAATCAGCTTAACGAACCGCTACCACGCGGATTTAGGTTTGCAGTACCTTTCTGCTACGGGCACGTACAGATGCACTGCATTAAGTTGCGGATCCATGAGGAATCCTCCCACGCTCCGTGACAGAGCTCATTAGGCAGCCAGGAGGCAGCAACAAGAGGGCGACAGCCAAATAACTTGCAAAAAACGAAGACTTGGGTTTCCACGTGGGGTTGGAACAAGGACTTCCCCATCGGGCCGGCTGCGTGCTGGAGAAGGGAGCCTCGGGAGAGGAGATCTTTGGGCAGAGACGGTGGGAAGAGGAGAAAACGGCAAAGAGGCACTGTTAGAACAGGACGATGAGAGAAATCATCAGGGCACGCACCCGCAAAAAGAACCCAGGAAGGGGAAGGGCTCTGCGGAGCACACGGGGGACGCTTCTGGAAAGAGGCGCAGCCCAGATGGAACGCTGGGAACTGCCCTCAGCGTAGAATCATAGAATCACTCTGGTTGGAAAAGGCCTTCAAGATCATCGAATCCAACCTTTAACCTCCCCCTGCCGTCCCATCACACAGCTCCCAGGAACACGCGTGACAAGACAAGGGGTAACGGTTTTAAACTAAACCAGGGTAGGTTTAGACTAGATATAAAGAAGAAGTTCTTTACCATGAGGGTGGTGAAACCCTGGCAGGGGTTGCCAGAGAGGGGGGTGGAGGCCCCATCCCTGGGACCATTCCAGGCCAGGTTGGCCGGGGCTTTGAGCAACCTGATGTGGTTCAAGGTGTCCCTGCTCCTGCAGGGGGGTTGGG